CTGGGCACATTGCTTCCCAGGTCAACTGCGTGCATTGCTTCCCAGGTCAGCTGGGCACATTGCTTCCCAGGTCAACTGCGTGCATTGCTTCCCAGGTCAGCTGGGCACATTGCTTCCCATCCCAGGTCAATCAACTGCGTGCATTGCTTCCCAGGTCAGCTGGGCACATTGCTTCCCGAGTCCGCGTCATGCTGGGAGTGGGAGATTGGCTGTGTGGAAAAATGTCTACACCACGGAAATTGGCAGATAAGTGGTGACAAAGCAAACACAATTGACACCTGAAACATAATTTTTAGGAATAGTATTTAACCTTGTGTGTGGGATCCATTCTGATCTCTATCCTTCCCTTCTTACCTGTTTCATTAAAGCAGAAGAAAAAGCTGGTGTCACTCACTGAACTGATTTCATGACCTACAGTTTGAAAAACATTGTTTTAGAGAAAACCGGAGATTATGTATGCTTTACAGAGTCAGAAGACAATTATTATTATTATTATTATCATCATCATCATTATTATTTGAGACGGAGTCTCACCCTGTCGCCCAGGCTGGAGTGCAGTGGCGCGATCTCGGCCCACTACAACCTCTGCCCCTCCGGGTTTAAGCAGTTCTCTGCCTCAGCCTCTGGAGTAGCTGGGATTACAGGCGCCAGCCACCACACCCAGCTAATTTTTTTGTATTTTTAGTAGAGATGGGGTTTCACCGTCTTGGCCAGGCTGGTCTTGAACTCCTGACCTCGTGATCCACCCGCCTCGGCCTCCCAAAGTGCTGGGATTACAGACGTGAGCCACCGCGCCCGGCCAGAAGACAATTATTTGAAAAATAAATTGTAGTAACAGTTGTAGATAGGATGATTTCATCTTGAAAGGAGGAAAAGAAGAGTCCTACAAGGCTGACAAGATGACCTCTCTAGAATAAGGACTAAGGATGCCTGCTTTCAGGAGAAGAAAAATGAGCAGAGAGAAGCGAGAGCCGCCAGAGATGGAGGGAGGGAGGGGATGGGAGCACGGCCTTGTGTTTGCCTGGGGAGAGGAGGCCGTGTTTGATAGTGAAAGCTGGTTTTAGAGAAAGTCACCTGTTCTGGAGGATTGAGGAATGAAACTGGAAACCTTAGGAGAAAAGCACAAACACTGGTTGTACTTGGTATTTTTTAAATTGCTTTTATTTAGTTAGCTGGAAATGCACTTTCCCAGATCCACTGTCACTCCTGCAAATTACAAGAGTGCTCAGCCACCCTGTGGAAGGTCATCCAGCTTCCAAGCAGCAAACTGGACCTTGATCCCTCGTGCTACCCCTTGCTGCAGAGCTCTTTGTCCACACTCGCCAGCAGAGGTGGGGAGTCCAGAGGGGAGGATGCTTGGCCTGTGGCGGTCTGGCCAGCCAGGGCAGGCGCGAGCTCGTCACAGGCCAGGCAGGCATCCAGTGTTCTTTGTGGCCTGAAGTGGATTTGGCAGGTGCCTTTTATTTGATCAGTGTCGGTGGCCAGTCGACACAAGTAAATGAGTTCCCAAACTTGACTCTGACCCACCTGCTTTAAACAAATTGGAGGAAGTCATCAAGTTCGTTTCCCCAGTTTCCTCTCTGAGGACAGTCTGGGGGCCGAGGCCTGGCTGAGTCCAGTCACCTCAGGTGGAACAGGCCCAAAAGGAAGTGCAGGGTGGCCTGGGGGACAGCGAGGGTCAGAGTTTCAGGGCTGTGGAGATCCTGGAGCTGAGAGACGAGTGTCAGCCACAAAGGTGAAGCTGGATTTCAGGACCACAGCAGGCAGCAGCTGGGAGCTGCGAAGTTGGCGGGGCTGGGTTGCGGCCTCAGGTGCTCCTCTGGGCTGGGGCTTCTCCCCTCAGCCCCGCAGGTGCAGGCCGGGCAAGCCGGTGATATCAGACGGGGCTGAGGGGATCTGGGGAAGCGGACAAGAACCAGCAAGAGAGACCAGGTTGGGGTTGATCTTACACCCTCCACTGAACACTTGAGTTTCCTGTTTGTCAGGAAACTCAGTCTTGTGTATGTGGGATTTTGGATTGTTCCTTTTAGAGGCTCATGTGTGCCCGACACACTATTGTTCATATTGCCCAGTAGCTTTATATCTATATAAACATATATATATGGGTGTTAAATATTTATCGAATGAATAAAGGAGGAAATGCAGATTCCAATTATTGATGGTGACATTAAAAGTCCTCTTAAATTCAAATATCAGAAATATGCTCTCCTATCTAATAATTTTTGATGGTGCTGTTATTAATATTCAGATATAATATATATGTTTTTCATATTTTATTTTTAATATTAATCAGATATAATATATATTATATACGTATTTTTAACAAGAAGCTTTACATTCTTCATCTTGTGATTTTTTGGTTAAAAGAAAGGAAGTCTGTTTATAATGTTGTGCATTATTTCTATAAATCGCCCTCTATACACAGGGATGTCAGATGCTGCCCAAGAGAATCTGTTTCATATGGTAATTTTCACTAATGAATCCAGACCTGTACTGTTAAATTTTGCCCCAAACTGCCTGGGATGAAGTAGAGGAAGCGCGTTGCAGTTGGCGTGACGGTTCTTAGAGGATGCTCTCACAGTGTTTCATAACAGATGCAGAGGCTCTGTAGTTCTGAATATTAATACCAGCGCCATCAAAATTATTTATTAGATAGGAGAGCATATTTCTGATATTTGAATTTAAGAGAACTTTGAGTACTTCCCAACGTCACCATCAATAATTGGAATCTGCATTTCCTCCTTTATTCATTCGATAAATATTTAACACCCATTATGTTCATGGCATCACATTAGACTCTGGGGGAGTTACAAAGAACCTAGGCTGGGCTCTGCCCTCAAGGGGGAGATAAAAGAAACAATTACATGTAATCGTTTTTAACACCAAGCAGCGTGAAACCTAGTTCTGGAGTATCCTGGCCACAAGGGGAGAAGGGGTCACGGGAGCCCCTCCAAGGCCAGCGCCCATGTGGCCACGCCTCACACCTTCCCAAGCATGGGCCCTCGTACCCTTCTCCTGTCTTTCCTTGTCCTCCCATGCCGTCAGGGTTTATGAGACCTGCGAGTCTCCGGGCATGGCTCTGGTCGCTCTGGCCGGCGAGGATTATTCTCTGATGGGCTGTGGTCAGTGAAGCACAGCTTATCTGCCTCTTTCGATTTTCCTGCAATACCGGCAGAGACTGCTCAGTTTTAGGCAGGACTGAGACCTCCTAAAACATGGAATTTGTAGACAAAAATGAATACTTCCTAACATTGCCTGAGAGAGCTTTTGGTCAGCCTTACGCCTGCAACATTGTGTTGCTGCTGGGGGACCCAGGCACACAGAGGTGGCTGCAGCTGCACACGAACACGGGAGACTGGCTGGGGAGGGTGGCCAGGCCTTCATCTCTCTGACCCAGAGTAGGTGCTCAGTAAATGATCAGCGATGAGGCAAGTGAGTCAGGACTGAAATGTATGAGCACCATAAATTTAGGCCACTGTTCATTTAAAGCCTCAAAATTCGTGGAAGAAAGTGTTACGTGTGGAAGGTTGGTGGGCTGCAGAGGGTAGGGGAGACCTTGAAGATCCCCATATTTATATTCTAGGTGGTTTGTGTGATGTGGGCCATGGCCAGGTGTCATTCATTAACTCATTTGACACATATTTATTTTAGCACTTGTGTGCGTAGCATGTGTTGGGATGCCAGGGGAGCCAGAAGGCAGTGCTTCCTTCCGGAACTTGTCTGTGCATTGGAATCACCCGGGGAATCGCTTACAAATTCAAGCCCAAGCCACAGCCCAGGCCATCACACTCTGCAGGCATGGGGCACAGATCTCTGTATTTTGGAAGCGCCTAAGGGTGTTCTGGTATCAGGAGGTTTGCAAGTCACTGCCGTTAGGAGTTTATCATAGAGTTTTAGATAACACACCCAGGAAAATTCAGTAACGATACAAGACGGCCATCCAGAAACCTCCTGGGCAGGATGAGGGAGTCAAACCCAGGTCTGTGCTGTGGCACCACTCATTCCCACTCAAGGAGGACGTCCCCTGTGGATTAGGGAGTGGGACCATCTAGGCAAACTGGACCTGGGGTGTGCGTTGACTTTGCCAGGTTCAAGAGAGGAAGGAAGGGGATCCTCTTGACTCTGAACTCAGGCAAGTCCGGATGTGACCCAGGATCATGGGTGGAATGGACTGGTCTGTCAAGAACTCAACTAGTCATTGCCATTGCAGTGGATGAATGTTTTTCTTATAAAAAACTGGGCTGGGCATGGTGGCCCACACCAGTAATCCCACAGCTTTGGGAGGCCAAGATGGGAATATCACTTAAGGCCAGGATTTCAAGACCAGCCTGGGCAACATAGTGAGACTCCATCTCTACAAAAGATACAAAAAGTTAGCTGGGCTTGGTGGCATGTCTGTAGTCCCAGCTACTTGGGAGGCTGAGTCGGGAGGATCACTTGAGCCCAGGAGTTCGAGGCTGCAGTGAGCTATGATCATGCCACTGCACTCTGGGCAACAGGACGAGAGCCTGTCTGGCTGCTGGCGTTTTTCCTTGTGCGTAGGTGGGCTGAGCACGATGTGGTGAAGCAGATCTCTCAGGATGGACACGCTCAGCTTTGTCACTTGTTGATTCTCTTGCTCTTAAAATCCCCTAGCCCTCTTAACGGCCACAGTGAACCTCCCTGTGTGTGCACGTCAGCACGCCCGGGAGCCAGCTCAGGTGGGCACTTTCATGCCCCAGGGTCTTGTGGAGCCGTGAAGTGGAGCTGCGCTTAGGGTGGGGAAGGCGCGTGACCTCGCCGTCCTGGCCGCTCTAGGTGCCTTCAGGCCTCACTGCTCATCAACAGCCAGACCACATGGGCCTCATTTGGTATTCTTAGTACTTGCCATTTCTAATCAATTTTTTTACTTGGGTCTGTTATATGTTACTTCAGAGCGGGGAATGGAATGTGTTAACACTTAGTAAATTCTTCATCAGCTACAACCAAAGTTTTTCTTTCTTTCCCTTTCAAACCCACAGTGTGCCATGCCGAGCTGAATGCCATCATGAACAAAAATTCGACCGATGTGAAAGGCTGTAGTATGTATGTCGCCTTGTTCCCTTGTAATGAATGTGCTAAGCTCATCATCCAGGCAGGTAGGAAGCGGGTCTTTTCATTTGTCACATTTGCATTGCTGCCTGCTCGCCAGTAGCTCACTGCTGATGTGTTTGATCTTAAATTGCCATTGTTTCAATCTAAATTAATTGCACTATCAACTTTGCAAGATATTTCCCGTGTTTTGTTTTTGAATGGTGCCAGGTATTCTAAGACTAATTGCATCCTCTGTGATTCTTAGCATGTTTTTAATTTAGTTTGCAACTTCTTAAACTGCAAGCTGCCAAAAAACAACACAGGCATTGCATATAATTACTGTCAATTTACTGTTCTCTGACATATTGTGCATAGATTGGGGGGAGGGAGAGAAATGAACTTCTGTCAGAAACAAGGTCAGCTGGGAGTCTGTGTATGAAGTTTTAATTTGTATTTAATACATGGTAGATATTTGAGGATCTCAACATACCTTGGCATATAAATGTCGTAAGACCCAAATGGCACTACCTTCAGGTTTTCTTATGTTACAGTTTCCATAAATCTACACTATTGTATTCTGAATATTTCACCTTTTTCAAACTGTCACATCTGAGATTCAGCTACACTTTGTCTCCATAAATCTCTCGGCTGGAGATTTAAAGACTTACCATGTTTAGCGAGATGTGTGGTTTAAAGGGGCTGTTTATCACCAGCCCCGTGGATCTCAGAGCAGAAGCGGTCTGCTGGTACTGAGGAGTCGCGTGGGCTCCCTCGCTCTCGCTGTCGCCGTTCCAGGGAAGCTCTCTTCACGGTGCTCAGGTGTGGAGGCGGCAGCGGGCCTGTGGGCTGGGCAGTGTGGGCCCCACGCCGCAGCCTCCTCTCCCTTCAGAGGCTGGTGGAGCAGCGGCCTTCAGCGCGGGGCCCTTAGGATTTCTGGCTCCCAAGTTAGCGCTGCCTGCTGAGATCAGGACAAGAAAACAGATGTGCCCTCTGTAGAGCTGGTTCGAAGTGGTCTGCAAAGCCATGCTGGGAAGCACCGTGGTGCCCACCTCTGAATTTGCCAGCAGCCCCCACTCCCTCCATTAGTCCTCCCACTAGTAAGAGAAGCTACCTCGTGAATAAAGATGATTTGATTACCTGTAGTAATGGAAATTGGTTAATCGGATCAAGGCTTGACTACTTGACATGTTTTCCCTTTGCATTTGTTTAAAAAAAAAATCCATGAAGACTGGATGGAAGATAAGATATAATCCGCCCTCTGCTGTATTAGAAAGAGGGAGATATGTGTTTCAGTGACTGGACACTGTCTGCAAGCACACTCGGAAAAGGTCATTAATCACAGACACTAAAAGCGCTCCAGCCGCTTCCGCCTGTCTTTTGCAGCATCTGTATGTGCGTATACTAAGGGAGCTCCCACTGTTACCTTACAGGTATAAAAGAAGTTATTTTCATGTCTGATAAATACCATGATAGTGACGAGGCAACAGCCGCGAGGCTCTTGTTTGATATGGCTGGGGTGACGTTCCGGTAAGCAGGGAGAACGCAGGGCAGGGGGTGGTGAAGGCTGATGAAGAGCCATATTTGACCTTGTCTCCTCCTTGTGATGCCTGACTTCCACGCTTGGAGGTGTCTTTAGAAATGCAAGGGCATAAGAATTTAAAGACTCTTATAGGGGTAGATATTTAAGAGCAGTGACAGGAAAATCTGAAGACAGTTTGTTTAATGATTGTACTTTAATTTCAGTAACTTTCCAGGAGTTAGACTAATTATTCAAGTAGTGAGAAGTGTAAACATTCACAAGTTTTATAATGGGAACGCCAAACCTTGGTAAATTTTGCAAATGTAACAACTTTGGCATAGAAAATTTAGGATGAAAGTAGCCTGCCAGATTGAAAGATTGGGGATTCTTTTTTTTCTTTTTTTTTTTTTTGAGACCGAGTCTCGCTGTGCCACCAGGCTAGAGTGAGGCGGTGTGATCCTGGCTCACTGCAACCTCCACTTCCCAGATTCAAGCAATTCTCCTGCCTCAGCCTCCCCTGCCACACCCAGCTAATTTTTTTGTATTTTCAGTAGAGACAGGGTTTTACCATGTTGGCCAGGATGGTCTTGATCTGTTGATCTCATGAGCTACCCACCTTGGCCTCCCAAAGTGCTGGGATTACAAGTGTGAGCCACCTGGGAATTCTTTTTACAGCAACATTTTGCATTGAGATTTGAAGTCTTAACGGTTTTTATGATTGTCTTTGCTAAGAAAAGGTTGTGAGGTATATTTTACTTGCAAGTAAGCTCAACCACCTTTAATTCATGGCAGAAAATTCGGTTGGGACTCTATAGCTTTCCAGCGCTTCATGGTATTGGCATTCAGCAGCGGTGGGACCGTTGTCATAGGTGACGTGCCTGGCCCCCTGTGCTGGTCATTAGGAATATGGCTCAGCGTATCTCATGAACTCAACTGTGGTGCTTTCTGAGACTTTAAATTCAAATTATTTACTTTCTTGTTCAGCGATTCTTAAAAGAATTTGTTTTGTTCCCAAATATTTTCTTTTTAATTGTTGTAGAAGTAATGAGGAATGAGTGAAAAGTTAATGAGCAAAAAAAAAAAAAAGAAAAAAGAAAAAGTTGGTTTATTTTATGTTTGCATTATTAGAACGTAATTTGAAAAATTACTCCTCACTAAAGGTAGTCGTTTTTTGCTATGTATAAGTGGCAAAAGAAAATTTACTATTTTTTTTGCATTAGAGCAACTCCAACTTGGCTGCCAAAATTTTCTAGAAAAGAAGAGAAATCTGATGGGAAAACTAGTAATCAGATATCATGTTGTGCAGCTAACTTGTTAGAAATCCTTTGACTCCCCACTAATTCATGAACTCGGATAGCTGGAAACCATACAGACCACACTACCCCACGCATCTTTTTTTGTCTTAGTCTTTTCTGGTCCGTGTTTCTCTCTCTATGCTGCACTATAATTGGCTCCTATAGAGATAAAGTAGCAAGTGAATGCCAGGACATTTTTTTCTCTGCACAGAAAATACGAGTTAAGCCAAAGTAAACAAATTGCTGTAACTACTCACCATATAATAACTGTATTTTGTTTTTGTTTTTGTTTTTTTTATTTTTAGGAAATTCACACCGAAGTGCAGCAAGATTGTCATTGACTTTGATTCAATTAACAGCAGACCGAGTCAAAAGCTTCAGTGAGTTACATCTCATTAAATCGCCAGGAGGTTGGGATTATCCTCTTCTAAGAAGCTGCTAATGCCTTTCATCTTGAAGTTACACATAACTTTTTACTAGCCAGTACGGCAAAAGTAGACATCTAAAGAATATAAAGCCTCAAATCTTCCTTACTGTCTCTCCCGTCACATGGAATCTACATCTGTTCGAACTATTGATTTAGGGTTTAAAATAGGGGAGCCTGTGGTGGCCTGGTGCACAGGGCTAGAACAAGGGCGCTTCCCCTTCCTGTGTCCCGGCTGGCTGGGATGCTTGTGGCGCTTCAGAGGAGCATCAGCTGTCTGCCATCCGCTGCAGTCCGGCAGCCTCTCTTCACTGCTACATGTGCTGGAAGGACAAATAAATAATTGTTGTTGTGTTCTTAGCGGGGACGAGCAGACACACTGATCTGAACATCTGGCCCAAGTGAAGCATGGCATATAGTGCCCTTGGAAGAAAATTAGGCCTCATATGACAGTAGCATTGAAGTCTTTGCTGCGGAGTTGAGGGAAACCCCCAGCCACCCTCCTGGAATCTGAGATAGGGCGGCACATCTGTCCTGACAGACAAGGAGCGTAACTGAACCAGGAAGACTGCCTCTGTCCCTGCTCTCCCGCTGCACACAGGGGGGTGGCACGTAATCCCTCTGGGGGTGGGGCCCCCTGTCGTTTTGGCTCAGTTTGGGTTTGTTGGTCACATGGAGCTCTTCCATTCGTTTAGCTGAATAATGAGTTGTTCCTAGAGGAGACAGCCTATCTCTCCTTGTTCCCCCCAAAGCCCATGCCCTGCCGTGGTGGCAGCTGGGGCTGTGGATGGGAGGGGTCCCCGGTGTGGACGTGTTGCCCCCTCCTCCGCATGCCAGTGTGGTTCATTGACAGGCCCCTCTGCAACTGGAGAGAACATTAATTCCTGTCCCGGAAGTGGATTGTGAGCAGTTCCGCCCACGTGGAGACAGTTTATTGCAGCACTGTTGGTGTTCAGAGCTCCTCTGTGCCCTGGCTCCATGCCTTCATCTACACAAACATCACCGTCCTAATCACCGCGGGGCGGGGAGCATGTGGCTGTGCCCCTTTATCTCATTTAATTTTTATTAAACATGCTCAGTACCTGTGTTGAGAAAAGGCTTTCTTTATCCTAAAGATTATTACCTTTTTAAAGTGCTCTTATATTTTCATGTGTTTTTATTTTGTCTCTGAGATTTTGTATTCCACATTCTAGGGTATTCTGTAATTTGGCTCCTTACCAATATTAAAATCTTATTAAAATCTACCTTAACAGAGCATGTACGTTTTTATGTTACTATAATTATATGCTTAACTCTCCGCTCCTGTCCTTTCTGTATTGTCTCTGAAGCACATTACATATGTTTTAATGCTCAAAGAATAATGTGAGATGCCCGAGCTGTGTGCGCTCCCTAGGGTTGATGACTGGGGCTGCTTTATGGGCCAGATTTATGTAAGATGCTAAGGCAGCCGCTGGTCCTACCCTCCCTCCTGTGTACCCTGCCCTGGTCCCAGGTGTGGCCATCTGGTAGGGCCCAGGCCTCTGCCCCACCAGAAGGCTTCAGTCCCAAGTTCTGCCCTTTGCTGACTTCTCACCTTATCCTCTTTCCAATCTCTCTTCTAAATTTCCTTCTCTTTTCTCCTTCAAACTCCTCACCCTCTGTGTGCTCCAAAATACATAAAACAAAAGGTACGTGGAAGAAAGAATCAGTAGACTGAAAGGTAGAAAATAAGAGATTTCCATATTGCTGCGAGTCACAAGACTTGTGAGTCCTGTTAGCATGGAGTGTGTCATTTTCGTCACATCACATTATAAATATGTCTAGGGGCTGATAAGCCAGTAGCGCATCTAATTTATTTAATTTTGATACTATCTTATATTTTGTCGGTTGTTACATTCAGTTTCAGTGAAAAAGAAAATTGACTTTTTTCTTTTTCTCTCTTTGGGGGGAGGCTGGCGGGAAGGGTCTTTGCTGAAAGGGCAGTCCAGGTATTCAGGACAGTGGTGGGTGTTTATTTGGGGGCACACGCTGTCGCTGGGGGTTTGTGACGCTTCCACCTATGAACCGACCCTGGTTTCCTCGTGACTGGAGTGTGATTATGTCTTCGATTCTAGGATCACCATAAGAATAGTAGAATTGTCCTATCCAGAGAATTCTGCAGATGTTCATGTTCCAGTTAATAGAGGTTTGCTTTGAACTGGTGCCTTCGGGAGAAGCTTTCCAGAAGGAAGGAGTTTTGCGCAGTCTTTTGCCTCGCAGGCATTACTAGATAATTGTGATGAAGGGAGACTGTATCTGAGCCAATGTTGCTGCTTGTCATGGCTAATAAATGACAATAAGGAAACCATCTTTCACTGAAACGTCGGTAGAAGGACTACATTTAAAAGGCAAAATTTGTGAGTGAAATGATAGGAACTCCATTTCCCTGACACGTTTTCTGCTTTCTTCCCTTTTAGTCTTTTAGCAATCTGTCCTTAAAGACTTCTGAAGCCTAACAAGACCCAGCAGTGAAAGTGAGCTAATGTATTAGCCATCTTTTCCTAAATTAAAAATGAAGCAAAGTAAGAGAACAAGCATACAAACTGAGCTCATGAATAAAAATGTAGGCTTGCAAGCCCAGTGAGCTGACGTTCCTGTGGCCCTGGTGTAATTTTTGATCTTCCAATGTCTGTGTCTACCTGAGGATTAAAAATATTTAGGTTGTTGCAAAAGGGCCTGAGGAATGCAGGGAGGGAGTTTTCTCATTGGCGAGGCTGATAAGAAGTTTTAATATTTATAGTTCACTTTTTTTGTTGTTGTTAAAGTAAAGCCACTCTAAAAATTGTGGTTTCTACAAATCATTAGTCAGGAGGCCTGTCTAAGCCTCCAGGGAGGGACCAGAACTCAAGGTTGGGGTGCTTTGCAAGCTCTCTTGCCAGGGAACCGTGATAACCAGAGTTATGGATTACCGGCTGCAGAGGTGCCGGCAAAATAACCCTGGGCCCAGGAGTCGCATTTAGAGCAGGGTGCCCCAGAATTCTTCTGGAGATACCTTTAGCTAGCTCGACTTTTATTTCAGAACTGTTGGAAATCTAAAGCCATTTCATCGTGAGGGTATATGAATCTCAAATAGTTACTGAGTACCTACCATGTATTGGGTTCTCTGATGGCTCCTGGGCGAGGGTTAGAACAGACTGGATAGCTAGATATTAGACAAGTTCTTAGATGCAGCCCCAATTTGCCACCTATGTCCCTGAGCCGTGCAGGTGCCACCTGCACTTTATTTCCTCTGTAATTGGGTTGTCTATTATTTTGCATCTGTACCCATTGGAGGAAGACCCTGGGGAGAGGGCAGGGACCAGACACGAAGAGTCCGCAGGAGCTGGGTTCTTACCCTGATTCCAAGGCCAAAGACTTTAAAAAATTCTACAAGTCCTGGCCGGGTGCGGTGGCTCAAGCCTGTAATCCCAGCAGGCTTGTAATCCCTCAGCCTTTGGCAGGCCGAGGCAGGCAGATCACCTGAGGTCGGGAGTTCGCGACCAGCCTGACCAACATGGAGAAACCCCGTCTCTACTAAAAACACAAAATCAGCCAGGTGTGGTGGTGCATGTCTGTAATCCCAGCTACTCAGGAGGCTGAGGCAGGAGAATCACTTGAACCCGGGAGGTGGAGATTGCGGTGAGCTAAAATCGCACCATTGCACTCCAGCCTGGACAACAGGAGCAAAACTCCGTCTCAGAAAAAAAAAAAAAAAAAAAAAATCCTACAAGTGCTTCATTAAATTAAAATGAGTTCAGTATTTCCCAAGAAAATCAGGGGAAGGGTTCTCTGTTCATGAAAGAAAAGCGTAGCATCTGCTCACTGCTCGGGCATGGAAAGGTGTTGCCCTTATTTTTGGTAGCCACCTGCCAAATCTCTTCTCGGGAGCCCCGGTCCACAGCTTTGCTTGGCTGCTGCCGTTCTTAGCCATTTTTCAGGTCAGTGGTGTGAATTACACACATGTTGTGCCGCCATCGCCACCATCCATCTCCACAGCTCTGCATCTTGCAAAACTGAAACTCCGTATCCATTATACATAACTCGGTCTTCCCCTCCCCAGAACTGACATCCACCACTCTACTTTCTGTATGAATTTCACCACTCTCAGTACCTCATATAAGTGGAATCGTACTGAATTTTCTCTTTTTGATTGGCTACTTAGCATCATGTCTTCAAGGTGCATCCAGGCTGTAGCCTGTGTCAGGATTTCCTTCCATCTGAAGGCTGAAGAATCGCCCCTCGTGTTCACACACCACCTTTAATTCAGCCATTCATGCGCCAATGGACACCTGGGCCGCTCCCATCTTCTGCTGCCATCCTTTCCCGAATGTGCAGTGCATCTCTCTAACCTAGTAGTTTCCAAATGAACAATAATATCATGCGTGGGTTAAACATCAATTCAAAATACAAGACAGACCAAATGATTTTAATGTAAGATAATAAATATTCATTAATATGATTTCAGATTTCACATTGCAACTAGCTTTTCAGAAACTTTCATATATCAAATTGTGGTGCGGTACCAAAGACTATCCACAATTTTCTGAAAATGCAAAAATGACCCACGCATGATATTATTGGTCATTTGGAAACTACTAGTTCACTGAATTATGCAGATCTTTCAAGTATCAACATATTTCATTATACCGTCTAATCTAGCCCCGTCTGCCTCAGCCACCCAGTGGCCTTCCTCCCTGTACCAGTTACCTACCTTGAAGGATTTTTCTTTTTTAAAAATCAACATTTTTTTTTTCTTTCTTTTTTTTGAAACAGGATCTCACTCTGTCACTCAGGCTAGAGTGCAGTGGCGTGATCATATCTCACTGCAGCCTCAACCTCCTGGGCTCAAGTGATCCTCCTACCTCAGCCTCCCACGTAGCTGGAACCACAGACATGCATCCCCACACTAATTCCCTGGCTAATTGTTATTTATTTTATATTTTTTGTAGAGATGGGGTCTCACTATGTTGCCCAGGCTGGTCTCAAACTCCTGGGCCCACGTGATCCTCCTGCTTTGGCCTCCCAAAGTGCTGGGATTGCAGGCATGAGCCACTTTTCATGGCCTAAACCCAGCATTTCTAAGAGCCTCTTCCTGTGCTTCCTTTGACCATCCCCAGGTTTCCATGCATCTTTCAAGACTCAGATGGATCCTGCCTTCTCTGTAAAGTCTCCCCAGACCTTCCTGAGCTTGAAGTGACTTTTTCTTCTTTGAAATCCTGCAGCAGTTATTGTCAGCAACCATCTTTCTGGCAATGAATCATGTACTGTTTTATGATATCTCTTCTACTGTCTAGAACTGTTATTGAAACATTTCATTTAACTTTTCATATGTATCTTGTCCTGCTCTAACGAGGTCATAAACTCCACAGAGCACATGTGGCATCCTGTGTATCTTGGTGCCTGGCTACCATTTCTCTCCACGTCTGCACAGGACCCTATGCAGAGGGGCTTCATACGCATTTTTAATATTTCCACTTAAAAGTTATGAACGTGATTGCACTTTAATTCAGTGAGGTAGCTGAGCAGGAGCCAACTTCCTAAAGTATTTTTTCCATGCTGATTTCTTTGTGAATGGCTTGAAAAAAATTGCCATCTGGAATGTAAGAGAAAGAAATCTTCCTGTTAGCAGCCAGGGCTAATGGGCACATTTATCTTTGAGAGAGACAGGAGATTACTATTTAAATGTCTTATTTTTAACTTCTGCGTTTCAGTTAAAGCATTCCTATATATAGTTTTGAATGAGGAATTTGGCAATAATAGACACTTGGCAGAAAACCCAGAGATGATGCTTCCACTGAACCCCAACTGATTAGAGGATTTCTTGACCTTTCCAGGTCTTAAATCACTACTGAATGCTTTCTGTTGTAGGAGTTCTTTATGTTAACTTTTGTTAATGAAAGCTGTTAGAAACTTAAACATGCCATTTGGTCCAGGTTTTAAATGGACATTCTGTTCTGGAATTGCTTCCTCTGCAGGGGTGGGCATGGTGTGCAGCCTTTTGATTTATTCTGCCTTTCCCCAGTCTCTGAATAAGTAGCCATCAGTAATGCATGTAAGTAACAGGCCCCTGACTTTCAGTGACTAAACAAGTAGCATATTTTTCCTCACATAGTAAATATGGTGGTAAGCATTTGCGGGAGTTGTGTCAGCTGCTCCATGATGTCTGCAAAGATCTAGACTTTTTTCTTTATTTCTATCTTTTATGTCTTCAGGCTTGTTTTGTCAAACAGCTTCAGGCATCCCATTCACACTA